CATATATATATATATATATAGAGCTTTCTCTCTGTCTCTTTCAGTTCACACATCGATCGGTATCAATGGTCTCAGCGCAACCAATTGCGCAATTCTTCACTCCCTGAAACTTCGGCTCTCCTGGCACACGGTACATATTGTAATCCGAAAGTAACTAATTACAAGTGCTGCGCGCTAATTACATCAATTAGCAAGCCACCTCTCCAATGCACCTTTCCGCTATTCTATCGAAGCTAGGAGCGAGAAAGAAAAACAATCGTAATTCCACTTTGGACGACGTATTCCATTTTGGATCCGCCGCGATTAGCGCCTGGAGATCGCACGCGGAGGAGAGTAATCATTACCGAGATGAAGTACCGTTTTCATTCCCGATCGGGCGCGATCGTAACAAAAAGCGCTGCTGAAAAAACCCCTTTTACTCGATTCACCGGCGAATACGATTTGTTCCTAAACTCTTGTCTATCCACGCGCGTGTGTAGGACTCCGTTTTCTACATGACAGATCGACTCCGATCTACAATTCGCTACAACTCGAGAAGCGTTCTCTAAAGTTATTTTCTTTTTCTTTTTATTTTATTTATTTATTTTTTTTCGAGCCGGTTGACGTTACTCGTTTGTAACCTGGCCTCGTACCTTGGGCAGATCGCCCCTGTTGCTGTCTTCACTGCTCGTGAAGGTGCTAGAAGTGTCTATCCCGGAGTCTTTGGTCGCGCTGTCTTGACTACCCTGCCGATCGGCCTCCCAAGACCATTCCTCCTCCTGAGGGCCGCCGACATTGGTCCCACCGTCAAAACGCACTGTCTTTTTCCCCCTTCTCTCCGTGAACCTGATGGACACGCCACATACACACAGAGACACGAGAACGATAAGTGGTTGGTGCCTGTGTGTGCGTGTTTGTCTTGTCGTATTAAGTCGCCGCGATTCCGATTTCACGATTTGATCCGACCGAGTGATCGAGCTCGAAGTGTGATCCGCCACGATAACACAACTTACATATATGATATCGGCTTATGTTATGTATCCCGATTAGAACATTGTTTTTTCGATATCTTCAATTAACGCGATTTTGTAAAGTGTAATGATAAAAATCCCCAATCGTAAAAGTTCATTCATCCATAAAATTTTTCAAGTAAAGCGCGTAGGATTACATCATAGTTTCAATAATAGATACTATATATTTATATTCAATGTCTCAATGTTTATATAGGATCTTTTAAATTATAAAAATTATGTAACTGTAAAATGATTATTTTATAATTTTTTAGTTATAGAATAAAAAAGTAAAAGATAATTGTTATTTTCGCGTATTCTTAATCAATAACGGTATCGTTTCCGTGTTACAGTAAATTAAAAAAAAAATAACCATTTCATGACGTCGAACTTGTGCGATGGAGACATTCCGCGAGATATTCGTTAAACATTTTCCGTTTTCGTTTGCGATACGTCGCGTTTTATCGCGTCAGGAGCACAGTCTTGCATAACACATAACGTATAAGAAAATAAACCAACCATAACCTTATCTTCTTTCCTTTCATAGTCTTTCAAGATTACCTTAACTAATGTCTTAAGATGGCTATCTAATCAGTTCGTGACATCTTAAGATTGTACTTAAAACAATCTTAAGTATAAGAATCGACTATATGAATATCGATGATTCTGATTACTTGATTTTCTTATGCTTTATGTTTTATGCGTTATGAAGAAATCTGTGCTTCAGCCTTAGAGACTTTCTACAATAATGCCTGATTTATGCTTCGGTCTTAATCCTAAAATTCTAAAATTCAGCCAATAGAATACAGATTTCAGTTAAGACTGGCAGCCTTATTGGCTGAATTTTAAGATTTGAGGAGGACTTAAGACTGAAGCAATAAACCAAGCATCAATCATTACCTAAGCTTTAAGTTCTAAGCTATATTGACCAATCATAATCGATTGTCCTTCTCACATTCGATTGTGATTGATTAATTTCTTATAAGACTTAAAAACTTAAATAATAGTTTATTGTAGAAAGCTCATTAAGATCGGCGAAAAAATGAAAAAAAAAGCAGCGCACGATCGTCAGCCTCCTTGAAACGCACCTCCTACTGTCGGCCCGCCACTCGTCGCCACACCTTCGGAAACTCCGTCTGACGAGAGTGCTCTCTTCTTTTCGCGGCTCTCGCGGTGGATGGTGGCCGTTATGCTCCACGGCCGTCATGCCCGCGCCCGACCCGTGGTGCCCATTGTGGAATCCGTTGTGCCTACGCCCACCACTGGACATCGATTTCGGACCTCCCACGTGGTAGTACCCCTTCCCTACAGTAGATCCAAAACGTTTCGTGTTTTTTTTTCTTTCTCCTTCGTTTCCTTTTCCTCTCGTTTACGAAAAAGCGCGTGCGCGAATTGTCTTTTTTTTTTTATGTATCGTAAATCCTTAATTCTAACTATGCTTCTCTCTCCCACCTCCCTAGAGAGAAAAGAGCGTATCTTCTCGCGATTTTTCTTTGAGATCTTCTCTCTGCGCACGCGTCCTTGTCCATTCTTTCACGGGGTCTCATTTTTCGGCAATCGAGTCGATTTACGTACCGATAACGAAACCATTGAATCGGGGATTATCCTGTTATTATCTCGAGTACATCTCCCTGCGATGCCCTGCATTCCTAGTCCTGTCCTGTCCGGTGTTTCTTCCTCTTTGATTTCGCGTATCAGCTTCGTGTGTGCGTTTTGTGTGTAGCGATATACCTAACGGAAACGAGATAAGGCAGCGGTGCAAGGTTGCCCCTGATAAATGTGCGATAGACGTCTGAAAAGCGTTAAGTAAAAAACCGGTACGTTTGAATTTGCCTACGACTGTCACACAATTGGCGAAAGACGCTAAAAGGTATGACTATATGCGTTTGTGCAGGGATCGTGTGGTTGTGTGTGTACGTGTGCGCGTACGTGCATAACGGTAATTACAAATTCTTTTTTTTGGAAAAATGTCCAAAATTCTGCATTGAGACACTTTCTGTTTCTTAGGACAGCAGGATTTTAATGATAGAAATAACAGACTTTTATCCGTTACACAAAAAATTGGGCGAGACACAAAAAGACATGAAAAATTATTATATGGACGGAAGATACAAATTTGGCCTCCGTAAGATCGCATTCATATAAATTGAATTACATCTGTAATATTTGGAAAACAATACGCAACCTCGATTTTCCTAAAAAAAAAACTTATCTTTAGTTTCTCTTAAAGTTAAATTCTTTTAAAGTTTAAAGAAAATCTAGATGCTTATCGTACGGATGCCAAAGATAGGAATGTTGGAAAACTTAATGAAAGTGAGATATATGAAACACAGACCCAATCCCAATCTCAAAAATATAATTTTGGCTACAGCGTCATCAATTGATAAAAAGTATCTACGGGTCTATGCGTATATCCAGATGTATATATGCGAGCGAACGGAGGATTTTAAGATGCGGAGATATTTGTGGGAGTTGTATGTGTGTACGCGTATATTCTTGAGTGAAGTATAGATAAAAATATACCTGTGCACGATTCATAGCCGTCCAAAGTAGAACAAATAAAGTCTATTACAATTCTCTGCCGATCGGTCGCATCGCATAACGTCACAGACGAGGATCTTCTCGTAGAAAAACTTACTATTTCTCTATGTAACTGTGTGTATCTTCGCATTATTTTCATGAAAACTCTGACATAAATGTGTCCCTGAGGGCGTGGAAAGATAATTTTCTTTGCAAAGTGCAAGACAATTCAAAAGAAACCTAAACACAATTAAGTATGGACGGTATGTCCTCAATGAAGTTTAATCTTGAAGTTGGATTAGCGAAACGGTTGAATTTTTAAAAAAGTAATCAAATCCTGTGCAAAAAGGACGTAAAAGAATAGGAAGAAAAGTAACATAATGTATGCATTATCAAGCAAAAATCAGATAAACCAGAAGGAGAAACAGCATCAATTTCTATTTGATACGCACGACCGTTCGGCAGATACGTACACACACATGCACACGCATACGCACAGATATACATATTATATATATGTATATGTAAGTATACATACAATTAGATATATGTGTAGCGATTAATATATAGCGAAAGATGATTTGCTTTGTATTTTTATGTAATAAAATTATTAAGTACCGCGGGGAATTGCCGATTCATTCTGTCTGCCGCCTTCTCCCGCGTACCCCTGGAAGTCATCCCTAGTGGCAGCGGCTTTTGCCCTAAAAGCCGATCTCCCTTTAACTACACATTGCAACATACTGTTTGACTTACTGCTAATTATCGAAATAATTATCGAAATAAGCTTGTCCGCTGCGGTTCATTTATATCAGAAATAAACTGGTTTTATGTGTATATATTTTTTATATATTATATATTATATATTTTATTATATTATGTTAAATATATATATATATATATATATATCTAGAGTATAATAAAATATAGATATAAATATATATATTGGGTACCGAAAATGTGGGAATATGTGCAAGATTTCGTGCTCGGTGTTTTTAAACACAAGACGCAGACGCAGGTAGACAGAAAAACTAAATGGTAAATACGAACGAGGTACAACGAGCTGTTGAACATCTGTGAATAAAAAAATCGCACAAAATAAAAATGCGAAAGCATTTCACTCAATTCAACGATTCTCAATTTACCGCGAAACGGTATTTTACAACCATGCTACGAGAACATCATCACGAGATGCGAATGATTCTTTGACGTCAGACAGTGTTGCGTAAAGTCATTATTCGTAGATAATTCACTCGCTGAAAGAAATGTACCATTAATTTTATTCATGATTAAATATTAAAAATCGCAGAATATTTTTAGATCGGAGAGCGTATAAAAGGGACATTAGGGAGAAGAAGTTTCGCTGTATATGTATTGTCAGTATAATATGTAGGCGAAGAGCACGATAAAAAAAAGAGAAGAGATTCGCGGTTCGTAAAACTAACAAATTGGTAATATGATCGCCACGAGAGAGCATCTTTATATCATTCAACGATACCTATATGTCTGCGTTCCACGCGGTAACATTTGATATCCGTGTGTCATTGCGACATAATGAGAGACGATAAAAGCAGCTTCATTGATGACCAAAAACGCGTAACAACGGAATTCATCTACGAAAATTTCACGCTCGGCATCTGACAAACGCACTGGCGAATCCACGGGGGACCATGACTATGACCTCCCCCTTGAAGTCTCCTTTTTTTTGAGAGAATATTTATAGCAAAATATTATATATATTTCTAAAATGCTTAATTGTAATTTTGATATTTTAAAAATATTTTTTTAATTTAGGAAATCTCTAGATATATAAAATATATCTAATAGGATCATATTCACAGTCTGTTCTTATTTTAAGATTTTCTTATATTAAGTAAGAGAAGATTATCTTAAGATGCTAATACAGCCCTTTGATTGGCCTTAAGAATCGACTATGAATATTACTCTATATTTTTTTTGTATCTAGGAACTTCTTAAATTAAAAAATATTTCTGAAAAATATTTCCATTATATTATTCTTCTGTGTTAACATAATTTTAAATAAAATGTTTTTTTTTTCTTTAAATTTAAATAATACTTTTTTAATAATTTAAATAATAATTTAATAGTCTATCTTTTCATATTTGATTAAAAAAAAATTTGCTTGCAGCACCAATGCCCTCTCTTTGACAAATTTCTGGATCCGCCAGTAGACAAACATGAATTTAATTTCCACTAAATTCATAACCGAGATAAACTGTGAGGTAAGAGTGAACCAATGAGTGAAGCTTTATGCCACGTATCCGTAAAGTAACGGCCTGAATAAAAGACGAATGTGGGACTACAAACGATTGTCGATGGGCGTTTAAGCGTGCGTTTAAGTGGGCGGAATAGTCACGCATCCGCAGGTACCTGACGACGCGAGCGTGGCATTTTCTGCCCAAGGAGATGCTCGTGTTAGATAATAAATAGAAATGAAGCGCGGTCAGAACGCGAACGGTAGTAGCAGATCATTGCGGCGAACGGAAACAGGGACCGCGAAGTCACGCGTCGGAGAAAAGTGCAGAGAATCTTAATTTAAAAGTTAGATGACACCAACTCACCGCGTATAAATCATTCCAAGATTTTACCACCCCGTTCCTGGCGCCGCCTTACGCCCACTCTTACATCGTAGCCGTCGTCGACGGCGGCGGCGGTGGCGACGGTATCTCGTTTACGCTCCTATTTCTCGCAAAAAATTTTGCTGAGCTGCGGAAGTTTGGTCGCGCGAGAAGCATGGATAAAAACCGCGCCGACGAAGACTCATTACCAAGATAACGAAATTGGGTAAACTCGAAATGCCTGAGTACTTACCTCCGCTTGCTATCTCATCGCGCTCGTCGGTGAGGCATGATCGATAACGGCGAGAGCGGAGATTTTTAGATATTACGGCGTTTAAGCGTGTTACTATCGCATCAAATCGCGCTATCAGCAAGTTGTCAGAAGCGGATTATTCAATCTGAGATTGTTTTCGCACGTCACAGGTGCGCGACTATTGAAACTCGGACTGAAAATCTTCATTAATGTATTTTGATTCCGACGCTAAGAAACGTAGCGCGAGAATGTGGATGGTGGAAGAGATTATTTAGAAATTAGATAAGAAGTGGATTACTGTCAGTCACATCGATTACAACAAACATTATTTTTCATGGCAATTAATTTACCCTAATATTAATTTACCCTAAATATTGAAAGATCTTTCTCCTTTCCCCCCCCCCCCCCTGTCTTCGTAGAGAGACACATATCTCGCCTTAGATTCGGATTCTCTACAGGTCGCCATTAAAACGGGCGATCGCCCAGATAACATATGAGCACACGTAACTTACCTCGCTTCTACAAACTAATTGTCTATTCACTAATTGTATTGTGCATCTACGAATGGGAGCAACAACACCACCGTCGAGCTAGCCCGCCGCTTCCCTCGCGCATCGTACGCGTTTAAAAGCGATTCTCACATATGATTACTTTTTGTTTCTCGACCTTAAACTTACAATTATGTTGCTACACTTAATGATCATCTCCGTGTATCAGAATTTTCAATGAAATATGTTCGGCTAGATACACCTCATCTCATCTCAAGTGTGATCGGCCAGATGCTTCGTGACCAGTTTTACACGTCGGTGAATTCTATATACTATGATCCCTTAGAATAAACCGCAAAAAGACATAATAAATTGGTTAAATTAAGATTGAAATTAACTGTGGATGTGCGAAACTGGCCATTAATCTCGCCATCGAGCGTGTAATCAATCATCCAATGCAATTGTTCTCTTTCTTCTTTCATCTTGTAATTTTTAGACTTTCGTTCAAATAATATATGTATAGTAATATATACAATAATATTCGTAATAAAAGTATTTAATATACATATCAAGACTACAGAAAGAATAGTTTTGCCAAAATAGTTAAAAATTTAATTAAATGCAAATCTGAAAATAATTTCGTTGGTCATCAAAATAATTATTTTCAGATCATATCTAGCTAAATTTTTAGATAAGTTTTTAGATAAAAATTTTAGATAGAAATTTAGATAGAAATTTTTAGATAAATTTCAAAATCAATTTTAGATAAAATTTCAAAATCATTCTTTCCATGTTCTCATGCTTTCGCACGTTAATGAATACAGTTTACGTTGCATCGTTTCGTCGAAAAAATATAGAAGGGAAAAAAATAGACATTATCGGTCTATATTATTGCTATTATTGGCATTTTTATTGAAGGTAGGCCGTGCGTCATAACGGCATGACGCGATGCGTGTCTTTGATATGCGTGGTCTGCTATTGTCAGTTTCTGCAGAGTAGCGACCGCTTGATTCCGGCCTACGTGTTTATCCCAAACTAGCGATCCGCGCAGCGACCAAGAGGAAATATCACGTTATTTACAGACAGTCAGCCTACAGTGCCTCCTTCTGTGTCAAAAATAAATGTGGAGAAACAGGTATCTCAGGGGGATGTATGAGGATCAAAGCCATGTACTCTGCAAAATCTAGCGGAGGTTGCTTTAACTATTTGCATCGACGGATATACAATAGACACGGGTATGCGTATGCACTCCGCGCCCACATGTTTACACATTTACATGAATCCATAACTAACCCATGTAATAAATCATTGCGCTTCTGCTGAGATATCATTTTAATTTTTGCGAGAAGGCAATTTCATTAATTTTTTATAACGAACAGTATATTATGGACTTCGCTTCACGATCTCTTTCCTTCATTTCACCCTTCATACATATCAATCCCAAACGCGTCATCATGTATTAATTGAATTAAAAGACACGCATACTTAATGTGTGTTTTGAATAGCACGCAACATGTGCAATATCGTTAAAGTATAAAATTAAGGCATACAATTACGATCAACTTAATCTTACGCGATTTCTTTTTTATTGTACCGGCTATCTATTTTTTTCGCGATAGATTTAGTATGCCTTGGTTCCTATAGTAGGAGCTAATTTCGATGTGCGCGTCGCATCAGATTTATGAGTGAGCAAGGATTCCACGATATAAAAAAAGAAAGAAAAAAAAAAAGAAAGATAAAGCATCAAAGCCTTATTCGTCCGACTGTCAAATTGCAATATCTTCGGATTAAATTTATACGCAAAACTGTCTATTTTCCAACCCCTTCTTTCTCGAAAAGATTCGATCCTGCTGTGTCACATGGTACGTGATACAAGAAAAAAAACCGCTGCAGTACACAAAACGCTATTGCGAACGTTAATATAATTACGGTTATCGCGAGTACAGTACTCTCGTTTGTCACGCGGACGATCAATCATGGAAAATAGTCGGTGCACGTTGCGCGGACAAATTAGCCCATGGGTGAACTCCCATCGGAACCACTGTAAAACGCGTCGCGAAGAAAGAAAGGAAAAAAAATGTAATGCGACGCATCGGTCGATTTGAAAAGCGCAATTGTACGGTACGCAGCTCGCCAGAAGTAGGGAAAATGTCAAAGTTTTCCCAGCCTCTATTCATAAGTAACGGAGTCACGCGGAGGGGTAGCAAACTAGTGTGGGTTCACGTGATCTTCATTGTGCTCTCGATGACATTTCGTAACCCCATTTCGCCAACTATGTCAGTTTTTTCTTTTTTTTTTTTTTTAAATGCATCGTTGCTCAGAGCTCGAAGTTATGGTCGAATTAACTTTAAAAGTGAAGCCTTGGAAATGTTTAATTTTATTGTGTACCGGTATTGTATATGCCTTGAAATGAAGAAAATTGTCTTTCAAAATCAGAGGAGATGAATGATAAATCGATTCGCGCTAACGAGACGAAGAGTTAAAAGTGCACTCGTAAATTTAGCTGATGAAGGGAGGAATAATCTTCAAGATAATCATCATTCTACGAGAGTCAACGAGAGTTTTGAGTTGGCGGGCCTTTTTTCTGTTCAAGTCCTGGCCGGTTAGAGGTCGAAGACTATTCAAAAATGAAGAAGGGGCAGATGTTTGAATTCGCCCACGTGCTGGCGGCGTGACGTCACGACCAGCGTGTGGGCGTAGCGAGGTACCAGAAGGAAGAAGAGGGATGAGAGTGGAAATAGGAAGATCGTGGCGAAGGGAGAAAGGGCGGAAGGGAAGGAAAGAGAGAGGGAGAAGCGGAGCGCAAAAGAGGGTTGAAAGAGTGGGTGAGCGAGGAGCGAGAGGATGCCAAGGATCAATGCAACGACGAGACCGGGAGGGCAGAACCTGAGAATTCCCGCGGGATACACCGGCGCGACGCGGGATACACGGTGTATCGGTCGATGAATTTAAAAGGAGTGGATATCCCTTATTACTAAAAATGCTCCCATCCTCCCCCTCAATCGAAAAAAAAAGAACACATAGCTAATCAAATTCAGACCGCGAAAAGATCGCTGAGAGGACTGAAAGGAAACCGAGTACGCTGGCCATTATAAAATCGATACATGCGCTTCAAATTATATAACGTGGTATTTCACGTATGCGTTATCATACACAAAGACACTCGCATGGAAATTATTAAATATTATTATTTACGGTCGTATTATTCGTTGCGATTCCGTTTCGATCGCCATCGCGTTTGCCCACGAAATTCGCACGAGGCTAACAGTTACACGTGTCCCTTAATCCTAAATCTATATCGATTGATTCTCTCCGAAAGAAATTTTACGCAAGATTTCATATACGCTGTCGATCTATGTTATCATGGTTACAGATGCAATGATTCAAAATGACTCAAGGTAATTCAAGCACGTTGAATTTTGCATGAGGACTTCTATATGATCGACGCAGAAATATCGCAGAAACGCAGCATATCCGACCTTCATCATATGGAAAAAGTGATGCATAGTGGAACTAGGTAGAATACAGTTTATTTCTGTACTTTGCAAGAGAGAGAGAGAGAGAGAGAGAGAGAGAGAGAGAGAGAGAGAGAGAGAGAGAGAGCTTCACCCCAGGTGCGCACCTGGATGAGTCGATTCACAGTTCGCCGATCTCGCGTTTAATCAACTATGATCGTATATTATACATCGTATACATGGTTCCCTCACATTCCTCCAATTTTTAGGAGTGGAACATTCTCCACAAAAATACAACGACAAAATATTGCTGAAGACGCGCGTAAAATTTATTATTTGATAACCAATTATAGGAATAAATCAACTGATATATTCCTTCGTTGAAATATTTCATAATTAAAATGTGATAGGATTTTATGCTTTTATTATATTTTAAACAAATGTAAAATTTATACCTAGAATTAATTCACATAATATTTCCTTATTTTTTCCACTTAATAGCAATCGTGAAATAATTTAATAAAATTTAAACTATCGGAACGAAGAGTTATATATGTCACTGAATTTTTTGTGTCTGATATGTCTATTAAATTAATT